ACACACACACACACACACACACACACACACACACACACACACACACACACACACACACACACACACACACACACACACACACACACACACACACACACACACACACACACACACACACACGCACGCACGCACGCACGCACGCACGCACGCACGCACGCACGCACGCACGCACGCACGCACGCACGCACGCACGCACGCACGCACGCACGCACGCACGCACGCACGCACGCGCGCGCGCACGCACGCGCACGCACGCACGCACGCACGCGCACGCCCGCCCGCCCGCCCGCCCGCACGCACGCACGCACGCTCGCTCCGCCCGCCCGCCCCGCGCCCGCCCGCCCGCCCGCCCGCGCTCGCCTGCCCCCGCCCGCCCGCCCGCGCCCGCGCACGCTTACGCGCACGCGCACAAGCCCACGCGCACGCACGCACACGCGCACGTGCACGCGCACGCACACGCGCAAACACACACACACACACACACAGACACACGCACACGCACACGCACACGAACTCGAACACGAACACGCACACGCCCACACACGCCCACACACGCATACACGCATACACGCATACACGCGTACACACATACACGCATACATGCATACACGCATACACGCATACACGCATACACACATACACACATACACACATACACACATACACACGTTCACGCCTTCACGCATTCACACATACACACATGCACACATACACACATACACACATACACACACACACACATACATACATCCATGCATACATACATACATACACACATCAGGCTGGATGGCCACGAGAGCAGCGGCCAAAACCTCAAAAAGGGCCATTGCAGCAGGGTGTTCTACCCGGGATGCATGGAAGTTACAGTCAGGGCTACAGGAACCATCTTGGCAGAACCAAAAGTTTTCGGGTTCGGGCTTTGCTCATGTTCTTCTCAAACGAACCTAAGTGGGTTACATGTTGGCAGGAGGGTAGTCCTGTACAATAGCAAAGTGGGATGTTGCAATGAAGGAACATCACCTTTGTGTTCGGGTTGATACAACAAACAACGCCCAAAGAGCCCAACGTTTCCGAGAAAAAGCAAGACATCAAACGTGCAAACAACCACAACTGGCACATGAAGTGTGTTAAAGTTAGCCACCCCGAAAGGTGCACTTTGGGGATGCAACCCAACCCAAACCTATGCGCAGGCCTGCCTCCAGCCCCAGGCCTTTTTTTGTTTATTTGCCGTGGGACTTGAACAGACCTCACATGGCCGTGGGTCATTTTGGGATAGGCGCACCACCCATTTTAGTCTATTTTAGTGGGGATTCGGATGTTCACTGGGGGTACGGGTTTTGACCCATGGCCATATTGAAAGATAGAGGCTCCTTCTGGCACCCGTGTTTTTTTGGCGCTAAACTGGGTCTTTTCAGAGTATTCCTTGACATTCAAGTAATAAAACAGCCAATAGAACGGGCGATGGTCAGCCATGGTGTGTGCAGACCGGTGATATGCGGGCCAGGAAGCTAAACGGACCGAGAGTGTGCTGTCAGTGTTTCCAGAGGCCGATTTGTTTGTTTTGTTTTTTAAATCACCCTTCTTAGCTCCCCAGGGAAATCAAAGAAATGTTGAGAGAGCAGCAGTGTTTGTCAACTTGCTGTTTGTCTTCTGGGTGTTTGCAACCATTTTGCAGGGAATCGGAGTGTTCATCAGGTTCTCATCGACTTTAAGTAAGGGCACTTGTGGCATTGCTCGAGGTCCTCTGAAGACTTCGAAGCGGGAATGAGGCCACTCAGCTGCATCGCACCAGCTGATTGCCAGGACATGTCAAAGGCACAGGTTGTGTACCCTGTTCGTGAACCCTTGTACTCCGAGTCAATGGGAATCTGCAGAATCATACCCCCATTGCCGGCGATGTGCCAGCGACAAAAGGGACTTTTTTTGTGTATGCCCTCGCTGTGCTAGTTTTGGCCTGTCAAATTGTTTTGTGTATCATTCGTGTGCTCAGCCTCAGGTGGCTACATAGTTAGCATGCCAATGATGTCCGTGAAAGGGTTCCCAAGTAAAATCTATGCCACTTGGGACCCATGAAGTTCATACGTTCATGTCTTGTCTCAAACCTACCGCTTTGGGGCCTTGGCAATTTCATGGGGTCAAGCGTGGTGCATCTGAGGAAGGGCTTCTGGTCATCGATTCGGCAAAACTGGCTTGCCAGCCACAAGTCCTAGGCATTTGTTTGCTTAAGGTGTGGTTGCGTGGTTTAGTGATAAAAACATGTTTTCTTCCTGTTGGTGTTAGAGGGGTACCGGACATGGCTGGAAGTTTATTTTATGTTTGAGTGTGGCACCTTGAGCAAATGGATCGTGATTTTCCGGCCGGTGAGAGGATCATTGGTTTCACGCCTGCAAAGCCGAGGCAAAAGTATTCGGTTGCTGCCTGGGAGCTTTTCAACTTTGGAGGAATACCAAACTCGGGTGTAGCATCTTAGGGTTCTTTAGAAGCTAAGGGTCAGCCAAGAGAAAGACAAAGCACAACTTGAGCTTTTGTCTTCAGTTTGGTTCATTCAGCTTGTGTTGCTGGCGAGGCACTGTGGACTTAAAATCATTAGGCGACCGCGGGTAATGGGCACGTTTTGCAAAGGCCACCCTTGTTGCCGGCTGAGTCTGGTCTTACCAGCCTAAGTGAGCTGTTTCCAATGGGAAGTTTGGTCGGCATAGATGGTCAGCCGTTCCGTGGTGTCTGCTTATAGGCTGTTAGATGGGTCGGTCCCCGCTGAGGATTCAAGCGACTGTCTTACATCCCCCCATCCACTGTCGGGATGCAACACGATATCAGACATACTATGAGGGCCTATTTAAATGGTTTGTCTGGGGCCCGAAACCGCATTTCCTATAGTTAGCCCTTTCCCTTATCAAGATCCTTTGGCATTCATGTGTGGATGACTTCCAGAGAGCCATTCGCGTCGGGTCTAGTCTTCGACCGTTGGCTTGGAAGCAAAGCTAAGTAGCTTTGGCTGCTCGGGCTTGTCCCATCCAACTATCACCCCACATCCAGCGGACCCATTGAGCAGGTTCTATCAAATGGGCTGCGATCGCTTGCAGCAAAGGACAATACTGTGTTGTTTTTCTCATCCCAAAGGAACCCGTTAGAACCCATTCAACACTCATCCAACAAACGTTTCAATCTCGTTGCACTGCAAGTGCGTAACAGAAGCAACCCAGAAGGGAGATTCCACTAAAGATGGATGGGTTGTTGGAAGTTCCTTCGGTGAATCCAGGAGAGTAGTGGGGACGACAGCAATTTGCCGATTCCATTGTGGGAATGAGCGGCTTCAAAAAGGCCCAAAGGGCAATTCCCATGTCCGATTCCTCGCGTGGAAGCTCATCATGTTCAACACATAAACTCCCGAGACCTATTGACAACTCACAACTCACAACTCACATGTCCAAGACCTAGGCTTCTCTGATCAACTCAGGCTTGCAACCCCAGGCCTCGAGCGTTGAATTCCAGTTGTCCGCCATGGCGCGCATGGGCTTGGCATCGCTGGGCCTGGCCGCGGCGCTGGAGACCCAGTGGTTCCAGCAGCCCATCGACCACTTTGGAGGCCGTCTTGGGCGGGGTCAATCGCCAAAACGGGGGCAACGGATGGGGGAGTGCCATTGACTAGTCATGGGGCATGTATATATATACATATATATATATATATACACCAATATTCACATATATATATATATATCACTATATATATATGTATTATGTGTGTGTGTGTGTCTTCGTTGTTGAGGGGACGGTCAAGTGCAATAACATTTCCATTGCCCCTGCAAAAAAATCGGAAAGCGCCGAAACCTCTCCGGCCCTCTTCTGAAACTGAAAGACTAACCAGCTGTTTGGGGCCCCCTTTTTTTGACACACACACACACACACTCGGAGTGCAGACAGGGTTGGTTGTAAAATGTTTGTGTCAACCGAACCCCTGGTCCACATTTAAAAGGGACGGGTGTTTAAGCAATAGTGGTTGAGCATGTTTGTGGCCCAGCCCAAATGCCTAATGTCGACCTCGGATTGGTTAGTAGGGGCTTTTCTGCAAAAAGTGAAGCATTCCTTCCATGGGACATGCCCTGCGAATCAACCATGAGGGCATTCAAATCTGCTCGGTCATGTGCCAGCCCAAAGAACAGCTTTTGCCGCTCGTGCTGTTCTGTCCATCCGACATGTCCGTTTAGGTCACGCGGGGAGCTTTGCGCAGCACCTTGGCAGCGCTTTGACCTAGTCCGAAGGCCCCTACAAGAGGGATTCGGGCTTCCATGGCCTGCGACTGTATCCTTTCAATTCACAAATAGAATTGGCAAATGGATCGGTTCTGGCAAATAGAGTTTGCCCGTCCTCCATGGTGCAGCTCAGGCGATATTTGGTGGACAAGACGAAGGCCGGTGCACACAAGAGTGGAACGAGATTTGAGAGCTATAAGGGGTAGGCATGGGTCCTGGATCTACATGGTACCCATTGAAGTACCAAAGCATCAACACATGGCAACGGTCCACTCAATCCTCATTTAGTATAGCTAGGCTCGCCTCCGAGGTTCTGCTCAGCTGACCCTTCAAAGTGTGGCGGTTCACGCGAAGGACTTACAAGGAAATGATGCCACGAGCTACTCTCACCAAAGCTCTGAACGCCCCATTTCTGCTGTGGCACGGAGCATCGCCGCCGCTTCGTCACGGCTGCCTTGATCAAATGTATCTTCAAGGATCGATGTCATGTACCCCCGGGTTTCCCCAGGAGTTTGTTTTGCAAGCAACTGGGAAGGCGTATCGCTTTTGCGATTGGCCCAAGAATCCAATGACTAGTCGTGACGACATCCTCAACACTCCTGCTTCGGTTGGAATCTGCAGGTGTTCCTAACTTAGCCACTGCTTTTGGATGGTGGTTGAAAGCACCAAACAACCGGAAACCAAGAGTAGTTTTGGGGGCTTTCAGTGTACTTCAGGGGTGTATAAAGTGGTAATTATCTGCCCTAGGCACGTCGCTGTGAATTTTGCGGGGGAACGCCCTCCAAAATGATATGTGGGCTTTTTCTCCCCACATAATTTCCGATGACCGGCAAAAGGTCCCCTATCTGAATACATAATTACCCATTTCTGCCATGTCTGGCTTCTCAGAATATGGTTTATATTTTCAGGTTGACTAAACATACAGAAACATGGTCAGGAAGCACCATGTTTGGTCCACACCAGAGCGGGGCCAGATTTGGAGGTGCACAACACCGGTCCGTTGCTCTTCTTCTGCGGCAACGAGGGCGACGTGGAGGCGCAGCTGTGGATCTGTTGCGTAAAATTCCTGTCCGCCGTGGATGGGAGGAACACGGGGGTATATACTCTCAGTTGTTCAGTGGCACCCTTTTTCCTTTTTTTTGGTGGCTGCCCCACTAAAAATTGTCTTTCCAAAAAAGGGTTCCTTTTTTTCCAGGGTCACTGAACAACTGATAACTGTGTTTGCCCCGAAAACTTGCTGCCTGGATCGATACAGTTGCGATCGCTTTGTTCCACCCACTTTACCCCTTAAAAACCAGCAACAGGGAGCTGAACAAAGCAGCAACTTGGCTATCTAGGTGGTGCGATAGGTAGGGAATGTGGTTGAATGAACCCAGAAATTCCCTGAAAGGAAACCACCAGTTGGATGGTTTAGGGTCATTCCCTCCTTCCCTACTGAGCACCAGGGCCGAAACTTTTGATTTTGCAGGTGTCCCCATCAATATGAGACGTTTCCCCGGGTTCCGAAACACAATGACAAAGATGTAGCTGAGTCCCCCTACCTCATCCATCACGGCCAAGTGCTAAAGCACGAGATGATTCCAACAGGAACTATTGGAAGGACCATGATCCATGCAGGTTTGACTGGATCAAGTGAGCCGTAATCAAGACCTGGGTAGTCGAAGGCTAGTAGGAGACATGCCCCAACAAGAATTAGGTGTGGATTTGCGTCCTTTCGATCTGTTTGATGTTACCTGGTATTTGTTTCCCATCTCCCACGGTGGATCCTGGCACGAGTGGGCACCCGAAATTGGATTGGATCGTCCTCGGGTTTCCCTTTGAACCAACCTGAGTAAGGGTAGTTACCCCCGCCCACAGTTTGGGACCATGCTGGACCCCAACCAACCCCCTCCATCCAGTATTTTGGAAGGAACTTTAGACAACCAGTTGGATTCCTATTGAAGAAACCATGAGCCACATGTGCGTGTGTTTGTGGGTGCTTCTTGAGGGTACCCCTTATTTGGATTGGCTTAAAGGCATATCAACAGCAAACCAATCATCTGGGGAGTCCATGGCCGGGCGTGGACGAGCTTGGATGGGAAGTGTTCTCAGGTCTTTGCAAACTTCAGCGGCTTTCTGGGTGAGGCGGCAGAGACTTGGACCTTTGAAGATATGTTGGGTGACAATGGTGACCCAGGGCCCAAAAGCGGTTCTGACAAATGGGTTGCTTTCGGATGCGGGGGGATAGAAAACGCGTGTCCCTAGTGCTGAGCGCTAAGAATCGTGGAGTTCGGGTTCCCAATGCCGGTGTGAGAGATTTGAGAACGACATTGGTGACATGGGTTGTGTCAAAGCCCTAAACTCGTGATGGTGACCTTTTGGTTTTCCTTGAAACCAAGCTGAACCCTCCATTTAGCACACCATGGGTTCAGTCCGCAGCCTGATCCCTGAGAATGTATGGAAAATGGACAGGGGGGCGAGGAATTCGGCCTCAAGGGGCCCTTCTTCGTACATGTTCCCTTTGAGGACACAAAGGAAATGATGCCGCATTTCTGGTTTGGAGCAGGGAGATAACCGGGAAGGCCCGAGGCTTGCCACCCCTACTGAGAGGAGCCAATATGCCTGGAGGGAAATGGGCGGGTGGGTGTTTCTTTCAGGGTGCTTCAAAGGGAAACCAGACGGGAGCCGCCTATCTTGGGGTCACGTGGTTGACGTAAACCCGAAGTTCAACCCGGCGGTTACGGTACCAGCCAGGGGGGAAAGCACACCCTGCCACGGCTTGGCCAGAACAGGATGTGAGCAGACTGACCCGGATCCGAGAAAAGTCCACTTTCAGAATGGCTCAGGTGTTGCGCAGTGACCCATCCTTGGAATGAGTTGTGGGACCCTTTCTTTTTGTGATTTCTCAAAGGTGAGGTCAAGGGCCGAAATGCGTTTTGGGGCCCCAAATTGGCCATATTGGGCCCTGCTTTTTCGTGACAATATTGTGAGCTCTCCATGCTTTTGTTTCAACGCTGTGACTTGAGATAGAACCATATCCCAGGGGTGCCAACCCCAAGGAACTTTGGCCTTCTAAGCCGCACCTTTGACCATGGCTCGCAAGTGGATGCCCTTGAAAGTGACGAAGTAGCCATGATCGGACGGGAACTTTGGCTCACTTCCCAATTGTCCAGAGTTATTTGTTTGGGAACATGCTTCAGCGGTACGGACAGGTTTAGTTGTTGGCGAACTCACTCAGAGAGTGAGCCGGGCATGCATTTTCAAAATGCATAGCCAACCCCGACTCAACTTCGGTCCCGGCGTGTCTCAGGACGCGCTGAGCGGGCGCTTGGTTTTTGCAGAGCATCGGTTTTATGGGCGGAGCCTTCCCTTTGGAGCCGCTGCTTGGTCAGAGTTGGGTGTGTGTTGGTTGAGGGAACCCTTTTTCACCGTGGCTCAAAGTGAAAAGACGGGGGAAAACAGCTATTCTAAGGGGAGGGTCCCAATTTGGACACTTACCCAGTTGGAGTGTAGGCTGGACACCTGAGTCTTGCTTTGTGACACCTTGTTGTGAAGAAGAGTCAGGTTCAAGAAGGGTTCTTTCTATGCAGACGCCAAAGATAGGTGCCACATGGAGCTCCCATCCACGTGTCATAGGCCTTTTGTAGCAGCTCTTCCAGGGTTTTCGGGTCACGTACCATCAGCTGGTTCAAAGTAGGTGGCTTTTTGCCATCTACTTTAGCGGTCTCGGGGATGCATGAGCCAAAATTCAACATTTGACCCCGGATTCATCAACCCATCGGATTAGCGGGTGCTTCCCCCGAAGGTGATTTGGATCCAGAATGGGAAGCCCAATCAAACTCAGCCACGGAGTTGCGAATGGTTCATGTCAACGTGTCCAGGACCATTTTCCCTTAAAAGTGACCCTCTGGGGGGTGCCATGTGATACCTCGCAGGGTGGAGGACTTTCCATGAGAAAGTGACCATGTTAGTGCGCCGGAGGGTATCCCCAAATCCTCAGCGAACATTCCCACATCCGACATGTCCTGAGGCATTCACAGCGCAGCAGGCTGAGTACCTGACCGTGGAGCAAGCCCTGGAGGACTATGCTCACTTGATCCGGCCACTTAGCTTCTCCAAGACGGGCGCACCTCAAAATCCAAGTTGTGCATTGCATATATGTGCATGTGTAATGGTATACATATATATATATATATGTATTATATATATATGCCTATGGAGAGAGAGGGATATGTTCACATTGTGTGGTTCCTTGGTTTTCCTTGAAAACCATCTAGCGCCCCTAATGTTTGTGTTTCCCATTGACCTCCCGTCAAAACAGTTGAACAAGTCGGGCCCCTAGTTGGACACACTTGCCGAGAGCCCACTTTCCTGCAGATGTTAACTCTGGTGTCCCAACAAACAAGGGATCGGACCTCACCGCTCAGCCTGGTCCTTTTCCACATCCGAATTTGTTTTTTCCATAACACCCGGGCCCAGTTGTCCGACCCTCAAATCTGAGCACATAGCAACCTCGCTGACCTGGGGGCTGCCTTAGGCTCGTTTCCTGGTGAATGGGTTTGTCTCTATATAGGGACCCTAGTTGGTGTGTGTGTGTTTGGTTTCCCGTTGAAGCAACATAACCAGGGCACCCTCAACAAGTGAGAGACCCATATATATATATATATACGTAGGTGAATCATTCTTGTTCACCTGGGCCCACTGCTTCGTTAGAAGACGTTTGGGCGGGTATTACAAAAATCCACCCATGGGGACGCGAAACGGGTAGCCCTTATGTGGGGCGTGGTTTAAAGGGAAACCACATCGAACCTAGCCAATTTGGGGTTCCCCCATGAGACAGATCTATCATCTCCCACTTGGGGCGCAAGGGGTTTGTCTCATCTTCGCTATGACAAACTTCTCAACCATCCAGTTCTAAGGCCCAGCTGCCAGGGGTGTCCTGCAGACTTTAGAAAGCTACAGACGTTCTACATCAAGTGGCAAGTGCAACCACCTGTAAAATTGAACAGCTTGGTGCAAGTAGATGGCGCGTTTGCCTTTATGTTTGTTTGATCATCCTTAACTTGCCCACAAGGGAGTTGTGCCATTTTTTTGTTGGGGGGTCTAAATTCCCTGAAAATGGCAAGGGTGTCCTTTCGGATTCCCTCTAAGCACCAAGCAGAATGGGCTGCTCCCATTTCGAGAAAATGGGATTGGAATGGGGCAATTTGTCCCATTTCGAGAAAATCGGATGCGGAACCCCTGAAATGGGTTCCGATCCGTTCTCCTGCTAGTTTCCTTTAAAACCAAACCCAGATCGCCAAGTTGCTACTCTTTCAGCCACCCCAAAACTGTCACAGTCGCTGGGAGAAACAAACCGCCACTGGTAATCCAGGTGTCAAACAGAACGCTCGCGGTGGGATTCTCAGGTTCTTGGGAGACTCGACTCGCGTGGTGGTCTTTGGGGGCTCCTACGGAGGCATGCTCAGCACCTGGATGCGCGCCAGGCCGCGGCGGGCCCTGCAATCCGTTTCGTTTCGGCTGGTAACCCAAAGCCCAGAGGAAACCAGGGGAAGAACATGAAGATCAAACCGGAGTCTAAAGTTGTGAAAGCGTAGAAAGACCGGCTTGGATTGCAGCCATGAACCAAATTTGGGCGCAGAACCTTCCCACAGGATGTTAAAAAGAACATGCTGGTTTCCTGCTGGCTTTTTCATTAGAGCCTTCCAAAACATGGTCCTTTGCCTATTTTAGGATTACCCCATGCGTCAAAGGCAGTCTAGGGGCCCGTATTCTTCTCCATTTAAAAAGCAGACCAACATGAATGGAAGCACATCTCAACCGGATGGTCACCAAACACCACCTGTTTCTACCTTTCGGGCGGGTTGCGACTGGGAAAGTCTCGGCGCCGGTCAGGTATCCTTCGCTGGTCTTTGCAGCGGCTGCCTGGCTTACCGTGGCTTACCTTGCGGGCGCAAAAAGCATGTGATCAGTTTTCCTAGGTTGATTCCCCATTCTTTGCAACCATCGTTCTTTTCAAAAACCAGTTGTTTCCCCTGGGGTTCTGACGGTTTTCTGGAAAGAAGGATCTCTGGCAAGAATGGGGAAGTGTCCCCTAGAGTTTTCTATTGGCTTACCGATGGAGCAAAACCAGCAAAATCCAGGATGTGGGTCAAGATGTAGGTGGTTGACTTGGGGATTCCTCCGTTCAGAGTTTGGGAGTTGCAACATTTGCAGATCAATATCGGACATGGGGCCCCCGCCCCTGCCCTTCGTGTGAGATTCGGTCCAAAAATGAGGTGATGGTGGGTGCAATGCATCAGGGGCATCTCATATTCTTAGATAGTTTCGGCTATGATGTTTGATGAAAGCTTTACGTATAACGCAAAGGCTTGCTCAGTGAACAATCCCTCCCTGATGGTTGAATGCACGAATGCACTAAGTATTAAGAAGTGCTTCGCAACAGTACATAAGCTTGTTGCTGGTGTGGAGTGACCGACATTTGATAGCTGATCAGCTCACTTTGAGGACGGACCACAGGATGTGCTCCTTGTTTGCCACGATGAGACGATATGATGTAGATTTGCTGTACACTGCAAACTGTCATGGAACCCCCAAACAGGCACTTGTGTGTGTGTGTGTGTGTGTGTTTTTGGGTCACCCCTTTTGGTTTTAAAGGACTTGGAAAGGAAGCCAATCATTTTTGGGGGACACTCCCACATTTTTCCCAGACTCGCCTTTTGGGGGACATTCTTTTGGGCCCGCGGTGAATCTGGGAAGCACAAGAGGTTTACACCATCGACCCTAATGGGAAGCATTGGTCAGTCCCATTTCACCCAAACCCGGATGCCAAAAGCTGTGATTTTGTGGGGGCAATTTGGTTTCATGTTTCGAATTTTTGTGATACCCGCAAGGAGTTTCCAAGGCATGTCACTTATGATTCATGATATAAATGGGTGACTTTCCACGACCATGCCTCAGTCCTTTTGCAGTCAATTGCATCTCTGTGTCCGGTGATCCGAGGTCGCCTCTAGTGCGCCGCTGCACTTTGACCGCAACTTGGCCTCTGACCTTACGGTGCTCAGTCATACCCTCAGAATCTAGACTTCCTGAGTTCACAGGCATTTCCATTGACATAGTGTCATATCTGACTAACGGTTTGACTTGTAGCGAGAGATCCACGAAACACTAATTTTCATAAGATATCACACGGCCGTTTTGCAAACTCTATGGTCTTTATGATCTTTGGCGACGGGCCAAAGTTTCCCCACAGACTAGCAACACTCTCATTTGGGTATGTGTCTTTTGAGGGTACCGGGTTTTATGGGACACCCAACATGAAAACCCCTATTGTCGGGGGCTTTCATGGGAAATCAACATGCAAACCTGTACTCCTGTTTGGGCTTTTAAGTGAAACCACCGTGGAAACCTCTAGATCTTGTTTTTGTTTTTCCGGGAAGCCATAGGGAACCACCATGAACACCTGTACTCCTGTTTGAGGTTGTAAGGGAAACCCATCATGACAACCATTTCGACGCCAATGAAACCCACCATGAAACCCGAGCCCATTTTCTAGATCCCCCAATAGTGCCCCTTTACCGTTTCTTTTGTGGGGAGGGTTCCCCTACTAGACTACAGGAAAAAAATGGTACCCTTATTCTAACCTCTCTACTGGAGGATCTAGTTGCTTTCTACCAGGATCTTGCTTTGGGTTTTCAGGGAAACCATAGGGAACCACCATGAAAACCGCTATACGGGGCCTTTGCCGCCCCCTCATTTTCTTTGGTGCATTTTGCTTGGATGTTAGGACTTTAACTTTTTGCCAACTCATGGGTTTTCCTCTAAACCACTAAAAGTTTTCTGCTTTTAGCAAAGGAGCAGAACATCCCAATCCCCACTAAAATAGGTTCTAAACTGTGTGGTGCATTCACCTACCAAACTGGGATCCCAAAACGGTCAAATGACCACCACAGCCATCCACGTAGATAGCCAAGTTGCTGTGTTTTTCAGTCCCTGTTGCTGGTTTTTGGGGTAACAGCATGAAAAACCGCCCGAGACGCCCTCCGCCTTCGTTTTGCCGCGGAGGCAACGGCGCCTTCTTCGGCCTCGCCACCGCAGCCGCGGAGGCCACCGCCGGCTGCGCGGCCGCGGCGCGGCGGAGCTTCGCGGCGGCGCTGGTGGCGCGCCCTGGGCCGAAGAACAGCCGGCGGCCGCTTTTGGGTGGCGCAGGGGGCAGAAAGTTCGCATGGGTGTCTGGTTTTTGAGGAGACCTTTGTGTTACATCGGTGATTG